TTTGAACATGATATAAGATTACCTTTATAGGGATATGTACGATGTACCTATACTTCCTATTCCTAGGTAGTATAATAACTTGTACATTATACTATAATGATATATAAATTGCTGTTAATTACAAACACCAGATAACAAAAAAACAGTTTGTACATAACAATATAACATACAAGTTGTTTGTTATATTTTAAACTACAATTGCAAGCAGTATTTAGACATATTTTACAGATAAACATAACCTGATGCTGCCTTTTTCTCACTTCGTAGATAAACACATTTGCGATTGAATAATATAATACCGATTGAATAATTAAATTCAATAAATATTGACAGTATTTTCATATTTTGTTGACTTTCAGTTTGCACATTATAAAAAAAAAACATAGATCACATACACACAGTTACATATATTGATATTATAACCTAATAGCCAAAAGGCTCATATGCAGCCATGAAGGTAGCTACTAGGTATATAAGCAATAACAAATAAAAACATATTAGGTATACTTATGTAGATAACTATACGTTAAACTCTTATCAGTTATCAGATATTTTAAGTATAAAAAAACGTACACAACACAGAGTTCATCTTAAATTATAACCATATTGCGTACATAAAATAATATTCATTTGGATATAAATTTATTAAACTAAAATATATTTATTAGACTTTAAACTTGTTTACAGAATCACGGTAGTAACTTTTTTTATAAATTACATTCGAGTTTCTGTGCTTTAAAATGTAAACATAATACTTAATTCATTGTTAACCATACCTACAATGTGCAATTACTACTTAACATTAGGAAATGGATGTCAAAAATACAATGGTAACATTATTTTGAATACATATTTATTAATATTGTTTATTTTATAAATATCTAGTTATTTAATTATGTTGTTAAAATATGTAGTTATTGAATATATAATATAAGGTGCATATTAATATTATGTAGGTACAATGTTTTATAAAATATAATTTTTTTTTGATTTAACATTCTAAACAAAGTACAGATATTCCTAATCTGAGAAAACTATAATTTGTTTTTAATAAACACGTTGTATAATTTAAATAAATAATGATATTACCTACCGATTAGATGTAGATACCTATATAATATGGTATTTAAAATAAAATCACGTGTCTTATATTTTACATATCATAAATAAATAATAATGGTTTCAAGATTGTATTTATAAAACAATACATTAATTCATTATTTTTAGTATATACACATTATAAATAAGTATTATACAGGAATTTATATAAAAAAAATGTCTAAAGAAGTTTTAAATATATTTTAAACCATATACCTACTTATTTTTTTATAAACATAACTATATTTTTGAATATCTACGTATACACGGCAAACACGCAGTTACTCATATGTTCCTTATCATGTTCTTAATGTCTGAATTATCAATAATGTTTATCGGTAATGACGGTATATTAGTATTTAGTAGGCATTTATATTAATATGCATTAAGAGAGGATTTTGAACATTTAAGACTAACATATTTATTTTGTACATTGATAAGGTAATCTCAAGTCTATGATGAAGTGTTAAATACCCGTCCAAACATTATAACTTTGATTAATTATTTCTTACATTCAATCAATATAACACTTTAGAATTTAGGTATATAAATTAAAAATGGGAAGTTTGACGATGACTTTCCTATTAATATGTTTTAGAATCAAAAATATAACTATCAAATTATTATCCAACTACATTATGATTTTGGCTTTACTATTCATTTCATTAATAAGTTTGGTAAGTGTATACTATTTAGTATTTATACATTATTCACATAATTCATTCAATCAAAAAAAATGTATTGATTAAAAAATATAAAAATATTTAGACTTATTCAGTCTTATAAAATATACTTTTCAAACTTTCAAAATATTTAAGTAGGTAATACGACCATACAGATACTTATTTTTAAAAATATTTTAAATACGCATTTAATAGTACTCTATAAAAATAGTATTGCAAATGCATACACTTTAAAAAAATATATTTACAGATAGAGGTATATTCAAATACTTTCAAATACTTACGTTTCTGTTTCATATGAAAAACTTTGTTCTATTCTTTGTAATTTCTCATAGTAAAATTTTGAAAAAATTTTATAATGCATTATGAAAAGATGTTGAGAAATGAAAATTAACCTAAAATGTTTAATACATTTTACTTACATATTATGTGAATTGTGATCTACATTATTTATTATATTTCATTATTATTTAAATATTATGAACAGTAAAAAAAATAATAAAACAATAATACTATGATAGAATAAAGATTCAATTTTCGATAAACTCGAAATATTTTCGAATAAAAAATCTTTTATATTGAAATGATGTATAAGTACATGGTTACCATTTGTGTATTTTTCTGAGAAACATAATCAATGTATTTAAAACTCTGAATGCTTGTATACTATGAGCAAACGCCAAACTGCGAAGTAAGAGGAAAATCATAAGCAAAACGTTTAAAACAATAAAAGCAGCACACAATTATAAAAGTAAACAGATTCCCCCTTTACTTTTATTTTGCCAGTTCGGATACGTTTGCAACACTAATACTTATCTTTGTAAGCTTGTAATATTACTTATAATATTAACGAAAACTGAAAATAAAAATAATTATTACCTAGTCAGTATATAAAGTAACACGTACTCCGTTTGAAGGTATGATCGAATGGATCTGTTCAATCTTCAAATAAATAGGCAATAATTACATTGATATTTTTCATAAAAAAAATAACTTTTATATAGATGTAAATTTTATAAAATAATTATTTCAGTTTTCAAAAATTACAACAAAAATGATATTGATATCTTCCAATTATTATCTATTTAAATGCATCTTTTACCTATTTAAAGTTTTAATTTTCTAAGTTACTTGAAAATTACATAACTGATTATAAGTTACAAATGCAACTTGTGATTTGTGATTACGTAAATTTTATACAATGTGTAACCGATAACTGCCAAACCCTGTGATATTTATACATAAATTGATTACCACCAATTAATTTAATCGCCTTTGAGACACCTGATAACATTACCTAACCTACCACCATGACCTATACGAACCTGTACTACTATAATCTTTTCGAAAAAAATAAATAAATAGTTTTACTATCAACAAATATACTTGTTTATTTGTGAATCTCGGTTTTTTTTTTTTTAAAGATTTTCTTAGTTCTGACTTTTGACGAAAATTAAACCAATGATGCGACATTATTTTTTTTTTAATTGTTTCATATTTATAAATCTTAATGATAATATTAATATGCTGCTTTTACATATACTTCGAGGTTAATTACTTATTAATGTATTTTTAATGTTAACTTGTTTCTTTGATAATTTACACAATTTGGATTAGAAATATGATAATGGCGTTTAAGAACAGCTTCTTGTTGCCCGTTTTCGCCAAATATAATCATCACAATGTCCTAAAATGTCTAATGTTTCATTAATTGCTAAATTAGAAGGTACGTTTTCGTTTTTCATACATTTTTATTACCTACTTAAACAGAAACTGTTGGTACCCGTTCATCTAGTAGCAAAAAAACTGTATACTTAAACTATGAAAATGTTTTTTTTTTCTAATGCAGAGATAACATAATATAGAAGTGTATGTTGTTAATATTATATCTTTATAGTTTATAGTACATATCTGATTCGCTAATTGATTGGGTATTAACTGTATAGGTAATGTTTAAATATTATACACCGTGTCCTAGTTTCAAACGGCTGTATATTTGTTGACAGTCTACAAAAATATTCGCGATGAAAATGTCAAAAATTAAAAATGTCTGTGGTAAAATCGTCTAATATCAAAAAAAACCTGAACTCAAAAATATGAGTGCATCGAAATGGAATAAAGCACCTAGTATAGATTGTAAATTTCTTATAAAAATAAAAATAAAATAAAAATGTAATAATAAAGTATATGGTAAAGACAATTTTGTATTAATATTAACTACCAGCTAGGTACCTATCTGATTTTTTCAGGGCTTGCATTTGAAAAAAAATTCCGTTTTAAATTACACAATTTTTGCGTTTGTCGTTATTTAGAATTAAAACGTTATCCAAGTTTTGAGTTTATCGATATTTAAAATAGCGTTAATAATACCTATTAAATTTAAAATAATAACTAATGAGGGTAGGTAATGGTCCGGATACGGAATATAATATAATAAATTCTTAGATTGTTTGCATGAAATAAATGTTTCTAAGAGATTTTCAATAGACCTTTTAAATAAATATATTTTAAAATATTTCATTTTGCATTATTTTTTATTCAATGATATTCTATAAATTACGTTTTGAGTTATGTTTTGTTTAATGATATTCTATAAATTATGTTTTGCGTTATGTTTTGTTTAATGATATAATATTTTGTTGATCGTTATGTTTTGTTTTGCGGTATTTAATTGTTTTTGATTATCGCTTTCCGTTATAATTACGTTTACAAATTTCAATCGTTTTTTGTCAAATATAACGTTATAATCATAACTTTATTATAACGTTTGTAAGCCCTGGATTTTTTGTTCAAAAAACAGTTATTATGTGTAGATTTTTTTAAATATTAACCTATCTTGTAAATACATTTTTAGTTATATGTGTATAATAATTTATTTTATTTATGTGTGTATCTTATTTTTTTTATTTCTTTGCCAAAGACAGTTTATTTTAGATAATTTTACCACGGAGATTTTTATTTTAGAAAATTTTACCCCGGGTATTTTCCTTTGGACATTTGGACCTAGATTTGTATTTGCTTGTTAACAATTTTAAATTTATAAAAACAATAACTAAATATTAATTATAAGTGAAATATATACCTATATAATCACTTATGACTTTATATAATTAAAGCATTATCCGTGATTATAATTAGCAACAACCACTGTATGATAATAATATATTTTTTTAATTGTATATGTTTTAATATTTATGTTAATTTTTAAAGCTGACACTAATGGTTAGCGGAAATGAAACGACTAAAAACAAAGGATATGACAGCCAATATTACATTGCGGCTGTCGTTGAGTACCACCCCAATTTGGGTTCCAATCCTTTGCAGTCAATGCAGAACAATTTACCAATTTATGAGGACATTATTCACCATGCTAGTCAATATGTAAGTAAAAGGTGGACAAATAAATGAGAAAATAGAAGTTAATAATTAATTATTGATGAGACAATTGTCAAATTGTCTTATTAATTGGACATTAATGTAGGTATTTCAAAATTATTCGAATCATTTAAAATTGTAAAAAATCATTCGATTTCGATTTAGATAATTATTTAAATAAGAGTTTAATCGAATAATGCCTTACCCTGCATTAAATTAAATATTGATTTGGTACCTATTGGCCATTTTGTAATAACAAGTAGCAACATGTATAATTCAAAATGTATGAAACTAAATTTATTAATTTATACCCATAGGAAATAGGTAAGTATTTGTTGTTTTAAAGGGATTTGATCCGGTCTGTGTTTTTACTAAAATTAACCTCTAGTCTTATTCTAGTAGTACCGACTATTGTTCCTATTGCATTGTAAAAATTTGACAAATAACACACCATTAATTAAAGTTATGACTATTATTACTAGGTAATAATAATGATTTTATATAACTATAATTATTGTATAATGTTACAGGATGTTGATATATTGGTTTTCCCGGAAGCTGGTTTGACTGGAGTTACTTTACCAGATAATCGAAAAGAAATCAAAACATTTTTAACAGAGATTCCTTCCCCAGAAAGTAACACTATTCCATGTTTTACTCAATACTGCAGCACAGTAAGTACCTTTATATGTGGATATATTATAGCCATATTAGTAAAAAATAATTAATACTCAGATGATTTGATATTTTTATACATATTGTTAATTGTTATGAAATGATGGCACCAATAATACTTTTATTCGTAGGTGTTGAATAAGCTGTCATGTGCGGCTCGACTTCATCATATGTATGTGGTAGTAAATTTACCAGAAATAGAGTATTGCAAAAGAGAAGATGACGACTCGTGTCCAGAAGATTTAGCAAATTATTATAACACAAACGTGGTGTTTAATAGGGATGGAAGAATCGTAGCTAGGTAATAATTATTAGAATATTGTGTAATTTTAACTATAATTTAATGTATTTGGTAATTGCATTTTTTAGATATAGAAAATTTAATTTATTTGGAGAATTAGGATTTAATCATACTAGCGCATCAGAATTATGCACTTTCGACACTGATTTCGGTGTGAGATTTGGAATGTTTATATGCTTTGATATACTATTTCAAGATCCCGCAGCTCGGCTTATTCGTGAAACAGGTGTTAAGGATATTATATTTTCAACGGCTTGGTTTTCCGAAATTCCTCTGCTGACAGGTTAGAATATATTATTTATAGTTATTATACTATTACAATTTACAACATATATTTACCGTATCTTATTTGTATTAAAATACAATACACATAAAATAATCCATACACTTGATGTACACCAATAGATATGCGTAATTTATTTTATTTTTACATAATTATCTCAAAATACGTCATGATAGTTTTGTATAATCTAATGAATTTAAATTACTCAAATAATACTATTATGTTTATTTTCTACGCATAATATGTTTCTAAAAAAAAAATATTTCTGAATTGTCATTATCTGATTATCATACATATTTTTCATACTAGTAAATGGGTCTATTATAGTAAGATAATAATATCATCTAAACTCAAAGTAAATACAAATTATAATAAATAATATTCTGTAAAGTCGTGGCGTCTATAGAGTACGGATGTACCCTGTACAAGCCATAATAACGACCCTGGCGATCGAGTTTGGGAAATATGTATACAAAACTGAAAACTTACATATAACAACAAACATATTTTAAAACTTATTGTAATAATACTAAAGTATAATTTTAACTTTTAAGTATCGTTACCTAATCATAGTTGAATTATTGGATGGTTTCTAATGTTTTAGCTGATTCTGTGCAAGCTGGCTGGGCATATACCAATGATGTGAATCTAATAGCAGCTAGTTACAACGCTCCATCAATGGGTGGTGGAGGTAGTGGCATTTACGCTGGTCGGGACGGACCATTAGTCATGTTCATGCCTGACCGACCTGGCACTCAGATAATACTGTCAAGAGTGTTGAAAAGACAATACAACAACTGTAATATACAATCAAAGAAATGTTCGATCGATAGTAACTATCAGACATTTATGTCAGATAACCTTGTCTTACCTTATGGTAAAGAAAAATCCTCACCAAATATAAATCGGCCCAGTGATCTTAGGTCAGTTTGATTTTACACACCTAAATTATAATAGTTTAATATATCTATACTTTCAAAGTTATACGTATTACAATCATTGTGGCGTATGTTGGGACTTGTTTTGGGACTTGGGGAAACCTGAAAATATACTTATTATTATTCCCTATACTTTTTTTGTTACTAAAAATAAATAGAATATGAAGTACATAGTATAAAAATTTAATTAAATAGATGGTGACTACATGCCACTTTATTTTCTATTTAAGAGGAAGCCACGCCTCGATTTTTAAAACGTTTGATATAGGGCAATTTTAATAAAATGTTTAAATATTCAAATTTAAAATATTAGAATAATAGGTACGTGTAAATACTAATTCAAAATTTCATACCAGTAGAATACTAAAATTTTGGTTGTTTTGTAATTACGAGATTATAAAATAAAAAATAAAAACAGTTTTTGGAGATATAGAAACCAAGTATATATACGGTACAGAAGACAATATAATTTACACTGATATGTAGATATTTATGAAGAACACAAGAACGCGTTATATTTTCATCTAGACTAGCTACTAATAAGGGTGTCGGACTTAACACATATTTAGTACAAAAATTTGCACTACGAGATAAATATTAACGCTTCCAGAAATAGTTGAATTTTGAAAAAAAAATGTTTATTTGAAAGTTGAAAACTTTATACTTACAGGTCGCATTGGACTCATATTTTAAAATCACTCATATAATAATATTATATCAATAATAAAATCAAAAATGTTTAAGTATTATGAAATGTGTTTTTCGAGCAATATTTTAAGTTCATTCAAACACCAAAGTCCAGTCTAATAACTAGATTTTTTTTCATGTTGAAAACTCCAACTATATTGTCACCACTCACCGTGCAATGTAACTTGAAATTACCAAATATTTTACCCTCCATATAGCAAGCTCCAGCCCCCTTAAAGATATCCATCATCGGCCCACATACGCTATGAGTGAAAATGTATGACAATTATTGCGGTGTTGCATGAACAATCACTATAGACATTTATTGAATAAATAGTGACCTGATGGTCTCTTAAACATGATTTCGGTTTCATGATTGGTCCATTCAATTTTATCCAATTTTTCATGCAACCCGTATAATAATTAATACTGTTTCAATGAGTGTCGCCAACCAACCAAAATATAGACAACATTAAAACAATATACATAGCTTTATATACAAGTGTGATCGAAGAGGTTCCGGTAAAAACCATTGCGGTAACTATAATAATATGGTCTCTTTGATCGCAGTATACAATGCCGTGTATATCATGTACAGGGATTTCCCGCCCATGTATAATATTATTATGTCATCTTCATCTATCAACATCCCCTGAACAGGTTCTTCGTGGACAACAGCTTTAAGGACTTCCACGTGGCGACCATGCGGTCCGCGGACCCGGACGCCGAACAACATGACGACACACTCTCCGCGTCATTCCAGTACGAACACGACGGGTTCGAATGCGCGATGACTGTACGCTGGCGGAACGAGAACAACAACGACACGACGGACTACAACTTGTTCGCGTACTCCGGTACCCGGACAGTTCAGCTGGGTTCGTGGACGCGCACATCGAGACGTGCGGGCTGACCACGTACAAGCCGGGCGGCGGGGCAAACGGTTACTACGGAGGGGCCGTAGTGTACTACGACCCTCCCAAGGATCTGGTCACCATCACCGGCATCACGATCGCCGCCAGGTCACCGGACCTCGGCACGTTGCCCATACCCAGCACGCTGGACACGAACAGCTATCCGCTCACCAACGACTACTACACGTTCAGCAAGCGGACGGTAACGGTCGGCAAGCGGAAAATGTTAGAGATCAACATGGAGCTGTCCAAGCCGGTCGCCAACCTGGTCACGTTCGGCATCTACAAGCTACCGCGCCGCGTGAACCGTGGTTGACACGATCGTCGAACGCACAGTCCTTATTGCCTAAACTACCTGTATAATTAAAGTAATGCTAATATTGCATAATAATATAATTTATATGACGTCGGCGCAGGCGCATTTACTGTTTTATTTATTTATATTTATTGCGCAGTGCACACGTCATTTCCTATATAAGACATATTATTTTCTAACTTATAATATAATGATAGCCCTACACTACAATTGTATAATAGGTGGTTACATTTTTTTATATAATGCCACTCGAATAAATATTTTTTAGCACGTTTCTATAACAACATTATTTCGAAGACAGATGTTTTTTCATATGTGATTACATTGGTAAAACTATGAACTAATTCACGATATACATATTTTACAACTAATGAAAAAAATTTTAAAAATACCTATATGAGATAAATCTAACAATTCAAAAATATAATATATTTCATACGAGAGTGTGTATTAAAGTATGAACTCAAAACTAATGATTAAAGTCCTCTTTATTTCCACCTATGTTTGGATCCTTGTAATAACAATTGTAGCTGATTATTTTATATTAATTTATATATATTGTATAATATTGTACTGTATATTAGTATTAAGTGTACGTTTAATAGTAATAATAACTTAAACTGCTTTAGTCAAGTTCGGTGTTAACGAACATTTAAATGTATTTTATATAGGTTCGTACAATCGTAATATAGTTTTATACTTTATATATTTTTATTTGTAACAATGTCGTAGTTAGGAATTTTATTTAAGAGGGGCACTCATTATTCCATCTCATTTACGATACGATACCTATTATACAGTTATATAATATAGTCTATGTACGTAACTATCACAAAAATCAAAATTTTACTTAAGATATCATCATTCCATGAAAATATTTATCAGAAATCAGAAGTAAGATTTATTTATGATTCGCTATTACAAATGTAACTTCCTATACCTATTTTTTTACGATATTTTATATATGTAACTTGAATTTTACGTTAAACTATATACTTTATAGTACCATGTGTGATGTGCTCCATTAGCATTACCTTTTTCCTAGCTGCGACACTGATCTGTAATATTAGAGCTCAGTAGCTCACTACCAATTATTTATAAAAAATGATTACACTCAATGTTATATAAACAGGGGTTAAAATATATTTATTTATTTTAAAAATAAAAATGTTACTTAACAATTTAGTTATTACCTTACTGGATATTAACTCATAAGTACTCAGAAGACAAAAATTATTCCTAATATATAGTTAACCTTCTGCAGATTTGAAGGTATCAATGTATCTAAGACATATTAATGGGTCTATCGTATATAATACACCTATAGTACCAATCTTGTGAAACATACGAATAAATAAATTCAAATAAACGTAATAAACTATATTTTTTTTATTTAACTATATTTTGTATGACTTATTTTACTACCTATTTAAAATACTTTTTGAAATAACAATTCAAATACGTTGTCTGAAAAATTATTTTTGTATTTTTTTATTCTTTACAAAAAGGCTATTTTTTAACTCGAAAAATAGTTTTAAATCTGAGACAAAACAAAGAAATCTATTAAAAATCGGGCACATTATAAATCTTAAACAATAGTTTTTTCTCTTTACATTAAATATGATTAACCCGCGGTAATTTTCAAACATTTCAAAACTGACCGAATTAAGAGGAGAAAAAATATATTCAAAAAATATTTGAATACTTGGATTAAGATTCGATTAGACTTTATAGTAAAATGAATAATTCGAACCTCAACTATTTTTAATATTAGATTTTGTATAGGGCGGAGCAATGAATTTATTGATTTAAATAAATAATAATAATAAATTGCAAATTTTCTTTGTAGACACAATATTTTGTATAAGTGTTTAAAATTAGAATATAATATTAACAAAATTCATTAAAACCATGAAACTATTCAAAATATTTTGTTGTTGGAAATTCATAAAAAATTTATTTTTATATTTAAGATTTTAAAATGCAATGCAAGATTCCTGATAAATTTGTCTACCTTTAACAAAAAAAAATGCTACCTTAAAGTCAAACTAGATTTTTGCATTTGATACGTTTTTGATGTTCAAATTTTTACGACTGGATATTCACTCAATTTCTCATGGGCCGATTTTAGATTCAGAGCGGGGTGAGGGATCTAGTGGTTTTACAATGGTGTTTGACGTTAAATGTTATATTATTATAAATAATAATATATTTTAAAAATGTCAAGTACCAATGAATATTATTTTTAAAATACAATAAAACTACTAAAATCGTTAATCTTTGTCTAAATATATCATTTCGTCCAAATTTGAATTAAAAATATATATAAAAATGTGTTGTAAAATGAATTATAAAAATTGAAAATATTTTTAACTACAAAATAATTTGAAAATTTTCAATTTGATAAAAATGTAAACTTTAAACGATTCTAAAAAGAAATCGAGTTTATGTATTTTTAATATTTTTAAACTTCTATTGTCACAATGTGTGAAAATCCTTGTATTAAATCGTAGGTCTTTCTGTGTTTGACCCAACGAATAACATTTTATTGACATTTAGCAGCTATAGTTATATACCTATAGGAAAAAAAAGTAAATAAACTTTAAATTTAAAACGTATGTGGCTAAGCAGTTTACAACGTGTTAAAATATTTTGAAAATTTTATTGAGTAAAAAAATTATAAAATAAACATTTGGTGTAATTTTCAAGTGTCTACGGTTATTCGTTTTTGAATAAAATATAAGTAAATAAGAAAATCGTTTCATGAGAAATCGAGTATATCCAATGTCGTAAAAATTTGAACTTCAAACGCATCAAACGAAACATCAAAATGAAATTTGACTTTCCAGTATACATTTTCGTTTTTTTTTTTTGACAAAGGCGGCCAAACTTATGAGGAATATTGTATTACATTTTATAATCTTAGATATAAAAGAAAAACATTTATGAAGTCCTGATTTATAATAATTTGAAATTTTCATGATTTTGGCTAATATTTTCAAAATTCTAACATCAGGCGCTCTAATATTGTGGATTTACGTTAAAATATTTTTAATTTCCACTATCAACTTATGATGA